TTTGAAAGGGATCTCTCTGAAGACTGATGTCCTCTACTCATACAAAACCTGCATTGCAAGGAGAGGCAATTACAGATTCCCAACACTGACCCCTCCTTCCCTGAAAGGACCACTTCTATGGGTGAGTGTGTAGTACAGTTTCCTGGCAATTAACCTCTGAGTTTGGCACTTAAGATGTTAAAAAGGGAGCCAGTTACAATGCTGGTCCATGCTGCTGAGAATCGGACACTAACCAATCATTTCATGTAGGACCTAAAACTGTCAATTGCCTAGTGATTAAGGAAAGTGTTTTGCTTATGAATTTGGCTAAATGTTTCTTTGTTGTACTGTATTCATTATTATGACTTGCACTGCGATAGCATTCAGGAGTCCCAGTCATGGTCCAGGATCCTGTTGTGCTGGGTATTGTACAAAGACAGTCCCTGCCCCAAGAGCTTATAGTCTAAGCCAGTGGTTCCCAAACTTGTTCCACCGCTTGTGCAGGGAAAGCCCCTGGCGGGCCGGGACGGTTTGTTCACCTGCCGCGTCCGCAGGTTCGGACGATCGTGGCTCCAAGTGGCCACGGTTTGCTGCTCCAGGCCAATGGGAACTGCTGGAAGCGGCGGCCAGTACAACCCTCAGCCCACGCCACTTCCAGCAGCTCCCATTGGCCTGGAGCCACAATCGGCCGAACCTGCGGATGCGGCAGGTAAACAAACCAGCCTGGCCCGCCAGGGGCTTTCCCTGCACAAGCGACGGAACAAGTTTGGGAACCACTGGTCTAAGGATTAGCATGTGAGAAAGGGTTAGTAGGAACACCTGGTTTACCTTCTCTAGTCCATTCATTACTGTACACATATATATTATGTTCCCTATTACCTGTCACTTCTCTAAATTGAACAGTCCCAGTCTTCTCATTGACCTCTCATGCGGTATCTTCTCATGCCTCTAATAATTTTCAATACCCACATCTGGATGATTCTTGTGAGGATAAATGAGACAGAGATGTTTGCAACTGTAATGTAACCCATGAACACAGAAGGCAACTCGTCAGAGAGATTTGGAATTCACAATATAGATTAGTGCTGACCCTGCTCTATAGCATGTGTTGTGCTGTCTCACAAGGTTGGCTTAGTGTCATCAATCAGAAGAGAAGGAGTAAGGGTTTCAGTGTAACAGATGGGATGACAGATGGGAAGTGAAAGCTTAATATGGAGCTGCCTGGATAAAATATATTAATCCACAAAATTCATATGTTCTTATGCTGGGAAACCTAACAAAACAATTTCAATATAACTAACCAGAGTAAGAAGTGTAAACTGCTTTTAGTCTACTAGCTGGCAAATCACAGTATGGCATCTGAAGGAAAGAAAAAAACCCCAAAAACAAATCCTTTCCTTGTTATTGCTTAGAATAATAAGCAGCTTCCTACATGGTACACAACCATGGAAGAAATGTCTTCCTAAAGATTGTGAAGAACACCAATTCATCTCCACTTTGAAAATGAATATTGCATATTCGTATATGTGCATACATTTTTGATGGGATAACATTTTACAGGGTTTATAATGATAAAAGTATGTATCTGAATTTCTTTTAACTGCACCGATATCTCCGTTATTAAAGAAACAACATTTAAAAATAAAGTGTTCTTTGAAGTGCAGCTTCTAGATGATTGACATGTTTGCATAAGTTCTGAAATTAGAGTATTTTGACAGAAATGGGAAGTGTGCACTTCCGACCAATGACCTACAGTTGGGAACCCAGATGCGATTTCAAAACAACAGAGAAGTGGAACTTAAGGATCATTTCCATTGCTGGGAAGAAAAATATGTTGTAATGTCTTCGCTCTAACTGCACTTCTTTAGGGCTATTGAAAAAAACAGGTTTCAGAGTAACAGCCGTGTTAGTCTGTATTCGCAAAAAGAAAAGGAGTACTTGTGGCACCTTAGAGACTAATCAATTTATTTGAGCATGAGCTTTCGTGAAGTGAGCTGTAGCTCACAAATGCTTATGCTCAAATAAATTGGTTAGTCTCTAAGGTGCCACAAGTACTCCTTTTCTTTTTATTGAAAAAAAACGTTAAAGAACACTATATTATAATTCTGACTCTATTACGATAGGGCTGGCCAAAGTCTCAGCTATACATTATGGGACAATTTATGGCCACGTTTATAAATTACCAGCCAAGTTTGGCTCTCTATTTTAACTTACCCCAGAGGGCACTAATTATAGTACAGAACGTTACCGATCATGGCCCCAATCTCACAATAGATGCCCCAGTGCAGACTTTTGAGACATGATGTCACCGTAAAATCTAGTTCCTCTAACCGTTCCTTCATATATCATGCTTAGAGCTAACAAGATGCAGCTATTAGAATAACTCTGGACTAGTTACACTGTACTTTCAGAGCTCTAGCACCTAATATCAGACCCATCCCTATCCTGGTGCCTAGAATCTGCCACCCTGTAAAGAGTGTCCTTGGACCATATTTCTCCTATCATCTCCCCTCACCATTGGTGTGTTGTGCATTCCATTACACATTCCATTACTGCTTGGGATCAGTATAGCTCTCCTTGTCTTGAAAGTACTCTAGACGAAGAAACAATTTAGTCCTCCCAAACAACTAAGCAGATAGGTGATCATTACTGTCTCCCCTTGACAGCTGGAATGATGAGTCATATTTCTTAAGAGACTTTCCCAAGGCTACAGAAAGGGTCTCAATCATCCAATATTAAAAATCTGGAGCTTCTATTTCAAATTCCTTCATTCAGACCACAGACACACTCTCTAATGTTCTTACTCTTTCAAGTTATTTTCCTGGCTGCTGTACACGTCCACAGAGCTGGCTGCATTTCACTGGTAATGGATATGTATGGTACCCAAATCCTGAAGCCCTTATTCAGTTTTCACTATATCTTTACTTAGGCAAAAACTTCCACCAACTTCAAACATAACTTGAAGGAGAGTTTTTGAGTAAGGAATTCAGGGTTTGGCTCATAATTTGTGAGGTGCTGTGGAAGCTTTTGAGATGAAAGACTATGACAGAGCAAATGGAATATGAGATGCTAGTATTATCAGGAACACTTTACGGCATAATCACATGTTAGAAAAATGACCCAACAAAGCCATTTCCCCTTTCTTAATTCCTTTCGACATGGTAGGGAGTAAAAGTCAAAAGGAGAATTTTCTGTTCTTCATAATTTTTGCAGCCTAAAAATAACTGTTTAAGCACATTTAGATGATTTTTTTTTTAACTGAGAATGTACTTATGCACAGTTTAGCAAACCTTATTGAACGCAGCTTTGGGGCACGAGTTCCGTAACTCCAGAGAGACTATAGTTTCACTTAGAATAATCACAAGCCTGGTCATGTGGTTATCCGTGAACTTCTGTGTACAGACAGCCCCCCAACCTGAAGCAAATACTCAACCAGCAACCACACACCACACAACAGAACCACTAACCCAGGAACCTATCCTTGCAACAAAGCCCGTTGCCAACTGTGTCCACATATCTATTCAGGGGACACCATCATAGGGCCTAATCACATCAGACACACTATCAGAGGCTCGTTCACCTGCACATCTACCAATGTGATATATGCCATCATGTGCCAGCAACGCCCCTCTGCCATGTACATTGGCCAAGCTGGAGAGTCTCTACGTAAAAGAATAAATGGACACAAATCAGACATCAAGAATTATGTGCAGGTGTCACAAGTCCTCCTTTTCTTTTTGCGGATACAGACTAACACGGCTGCTATTCTGAAACCCATCTGAATGAAAGGTTTCAGAGTAACAGCCGTGTTAGTCTGTATTCGCAAAAAGAAAAGGAGTACTTGTGGCACCTTAGAGACTAACCAATTTATTTGAGCATGAGCTTTCGTGAGCTACAGCTCACTTCATCGGATGCATACTGTGGAAACTGCAGAAGACATTATATACACAGAGACCACGAAACAATACCTCCTCCCACCCCACTCTCCTGAGTGGTCACTTTGGATAAGCTATTACCAGCAGGAGAGTGAGTTTGTGTGTGTGGTTTTTGGAGGGGGGTGGGGGGGTGAGAAAACCTGGATTTGTGCTGGAAATGGCCCACCTTGATTATCATACACATTTTAAAGAGAGTGGTCACTTTGGATGGGCTATTACCAGCAGGAGAGTGAGTTTGTGTGTGTGTGTGTGGGGGGGGGGGGGCGGAGGGTGAGAAAACCTGGATTTGTGCTGGAAATGGCCCAACTTGATGATCACTTTAGATAAGCTATTACCAGCAGGAGAGTGGGGTGGGAGGAGGTACTGTTTCATGGTCTCTGTGTATATAATGTCTTCTGCAGTTTCCACAGTATGCATCCGATGAAGTGAGCTGTAGCTCACGAAAGCTCATGCTCAAATAAACTGGTTAGTCTCTAAGGTGCCACAAGTACTCCTTTTCTTTTTGCCATCTGAATGAAGTTATTCAAGCAACAGTTAGTGCTGAAGATATATATGAGATCCAGCAACTTATTTGTCACTTCTACTATCATTATCCTGCGCAGTAAAAGCACCAAAAAAGAAATACCACAACATTTCTCTGATGGAATCTATCTATATGCATATCTTCCAAATTTCTTGAAACACAAAGTCCAGCTGTAGCAAACTGCTTACCGCAGCTCTGGGTGGGATAATTCTCTTCAAGTTTGAGGTTCACAAACTGAAGAATCAACACTCTTGAGCCACCTAGCTACAGGCAGTCCCAAGCATGAAACCAATGTGCGCACACAGTGTTTTTGTGCTTGTGATACTATTGCCTCGGTAGCAAAAGTGCTGATGCTGGACCCAGTGACAATGAAGTATGTTTTTCTTTTTGAGATAGGGAGAAGCTACAGCACTGAGCTTACTGCTAGGGACTGATGAAACTGCCCGATTGAATGTTCCTCTGCTTCTTGCATCAGAGTACAGAAATTTTAGCCTATGTCTCATTAAAAGTCCATTGTTCATTTATGAGGGAAAAATACACATTTTAAAAAGGGGTCACCATACCTGATAGGATAGTCAGCGGCACTAAGATTAATGAAGAAATCCCAGGGCCAGTCATTCATCTCAATTAAATCCCTCATACTCTGTAGATAGGTGGACAGAAGACTCGCTCCTCCCCAGATAGTTGCCATTCGCCAAGGGGTGACTCTCACATTCGGATACTGGCTAGCAAACTGGAGCACTTTCCGGTGTAGGTAGTTGGATCGCTTTATAGGGAAAGAAAGTAAAATGTTCAGCAGACTAGGAAGAAAACATACAATGAAAGGCTCCTCCCCGCTCGTCTTCTTTAACCAACTGAACGGCTTAAAACCCAAGCTTTTTCAGATCAGTTGATTTTGGCCTGCAGTCATTTTAATGGTAAGTAAACTGATTAAAATACATTAAGAACTGTGAATGGTATCTGGGATTTGGTAATTTATCTAGCAAATATACTCCCAACAAAACTCAACAATTGCTAGCCATTTCCCCACTAAGAGGTACTAAAGAACACATCCCTACCTTCAGTGCAAGCTAATTTCAAAATGTCAAGAGCCCCCTTTGTTTTATTCTCTTTGATCTCCCCCAGGCAGCACTGATTCCACTTTAAATGTGCATCAGAGCCTACAGTGATTTATCAGTTATCGCTACAAAACTTAGGACAGTCAGACATGAACAGATACCGTAGACACAAGGAGAATGAAGGCAGTCACAAATGGAAAGATTTAAAAACAAAAAATATAGTTGGGCATAAAACATAAACCAGATGGAAAAACAAAAAGTGATACCATACCGTATGCAGCAGAGATAAAAAGAATGTTGGAGAAGGTGACAAAGATGGACAGATTGACAAATGGTGAGACAGGCAATTTATAACCAGTGATATATTACCTTGTCAACATGAATGTAATAGAAATGGTCTTTATGGTAAATAGCCTTAAACATGCGTTGGAGCTGCCGAGAAGCTCTGCCATGAACAACCAAGACAAATGCGATCCTGACTGGGTTGGCAGGCATGTATTCTACGGAGTCCTCATCCCATTGTACATTGTTGTTGGCTTTTCCTGTTTGAAAACAAAACATAGTAAGGACATCTCTTAGTGCATCTGCAGAGTGGGGACACAGAGAGCAACTTGTATTAAATTTTGGCTCTTTTCTTCTTTTAAACAATTTTTAATGGGAACTGAGAACTCGTAAGAGGTGCCAGGTTGACTGCCCTAGGGATCAAACTCCTCTCTTCAGTCACAGAACAGGTTTCAGAAAGCATGAGCAGCAGCAATGTAAGCTTTCCTCATGCTGCCCTGCTTATGTGCCTCAGCCAGGGCCAGGAGGAAATATTCAAATGTTTTCGACCCTTAACTGAATCTAACTGAATCAAACCAAGCTCCATAGACTTCAGGGAAGCTATGCAGATTTGCATCAGGTGAGGATCTGTTGCAAAATCTTTTAAAGTTTGCTAATCTGTATCCAGGGCAACACAACAGTGACAAAGACAGAAAAGTACTAGGGAATTGATTATATTTGGAATATTATTTAGCCTTTGTTGCTAGAAATCAATATTAAAGCACAGCTACTACTTATGTGGCATAAGCTCCCCAACTAATGGGCCATGCCCTTGCTTGGAGTAAATCAGCGCAGTTCCGTTGAAGTTGGAGGAACCGTGCCAGTTTGCACAAGCAATGGCCTAATTATGTTCTTGTATTCCACTGGTATGACCAAAATATCAAACAACTATAGCATGTGCATTGCTGTAATGCCATCTATAATAGCAGGCATAAATCAAAATGTTTAAAGGGTGACCTGCAAAATATGAGAAAATAAGATTGGGGTTTGAATTGCTCTTTGCTTCTTTCTGATGTAGAAGTGGGCCTGACAATACTTTTTTTTTTTTTTTTTAAATAAAATTTTTTTTTCCTGCTTGTTTTTATATGAGAATTTCTGGTTTTGCCTTGCCTGTTTTTTCCCCCAAGAATACTCTATGAAGAACTGGAAAACTAGTAAGATTATGACAAGAAGTACTGAGTAATTGAAGAGCCAAAGGTAATTGCTTGTTCAGAACTTTTCAAATGCTTTGTTCTGTGTTTGGGTTTTTTTTGTTAACCTCTATTCCACTCATATACAGTTTGGAAGAAAAATATCTTTGTTAAAGAGTCAACACACTTGCCTTCAATAAAATTCTCTCTCCATTTCCCTGCTCCCTTAGGGAAACCTCCAGCAAACAAGACAGGTAGAGCCTGATATTTCTAAGTTAAAAACAACAACAAAAAGCCCACACTACTTTTCAGACCTTCTTTATACACCTTAAATAAACTAAAAAAGGCACCACACCATTTTTTCTACTATCTATGTTGCCTTAATATCAAAGAGCACTACATGCAGTATCAGTATCTTAAAAGTGCCTCAGCCCCATAAAGAAAAACATCAGGGTTTTCCAGGTCTATGAAATCGTAGCTGCCATTTTGGATTGTGTCCTCTGAGAAGCGAATCCATTTAGCTGTCTTTAAAGGTCTAAAAGTTTTAATTTTGATTGAAAATGCACATTTAATTATGGGCAATGCACTTCAACATGCACAAAGCTCAAATGTGTACTTCCCGTTAAAAGTAAAGCTTTTAAAACTTTGGAAGCAAAAAATTGTGGTGCAATCTAGTGTGATAATACTTCTATCGTTACATTACATTTATACATAACCTTTCAGCCAAATAATTTAAAGTGCTTTATGCTCAGAGCACGTGTATAAGGTCAATAAAAATTCAGACAGAAGTAGTTGGAGCATGATAAAAACTACATCAACATGCTACTACTTTACAAAGATTAGTTAACTAAGCCTACCGCCTCCACCTTTAGAGACAGGTAATTGTTATACCCATTTTACAGATTTACAGTATAGAGTCTTGCAAACACTGTAGTGTCCATTTCATTTTTACAATATCTGTCAAAGTAATTATTAAAATAAAGTCCAGTCATGTTGATTTAAGTTTGATTCAATGCAAGAGGCAGGGGAATTGATGACTGTCAAATCAAAAAAGAGAAAACTGACAGGAAAAGACACTTTATATTTAAGTTTTAAGATATACAATAGAGTTAACAATAAAGTAAACAATGGTCAATATGAGCCATCTGACTTGTAACAATTTTTAAAAGCTTGTTAATTTGTTAAAGAAATCTGCAGACAAATTGCATTTCTTTGCTTGATATTTATTTTTAATTTTCCCCCCTTAAAATGACAAACTGACTGCATGCACGGACATATGGTGTTATTGCGGGTTCTCTAAACAATTTGGTACCCTCGGCTGTGCTGAAATGTTAATTTTGTAATATCTTGTTGCAGCACTTCTTAGCCAATGAATGCCAATAACTATCCCAAATAGTAGCACAGTAGCACACCTGAGGGAAGTGCCTATACAAACAACTCCCAGAGGGAATATTTTTCCCCTCTCAGTACCAGGAGCAGACCAGTATCACCAAAGGATTTGCTCTCACTATCCTGATGGGATCATGGAAGTCATATGTATTAGAATTAGTAATTCTCTGTAACTAGATTCCCAAAGACTTCAATTGGGGCTTTCAAACACAAATACTGTATACAGCACATATTAAATAGACATTATGCTGATTCCTGCATTTAAAGCACAGTCACAAAAGGCTTAATAGAATGGGAAAATGGACACATCCTCAATGTGGCTTCCTGAGAAGATGTCTAACTGGTTATATCAGTGCCTACAATTCACTGCTTTTGCAAAAATGTGGATGCAATTATATGCTGGCTTGAAAGTGCACCCCTTTAAAAAAAGCCAGAACTAAAATTCTGACCCCTTAATTTTAAAAGGGACGCTATCAACTTAAAATTGCACTTCCACCACTAATAGTAAGAAAGACTGAATAAAACAATAACTGCATGAGCAAAAACAGAAAAAAAAATTCTCTCTTTTCCAGTTGGTTTGTTTACCTTGGATATTTGTGCATAGTCAGTTTCACTGTTTCCCCCACATAGTTAATCAGTTTCCCCTCTTGTTTGTTTCGGTCTTTAGCAAAACAAGAAGGGAAAGAAAATGATTTTAAAAGAGGAAAATAGGAAAACGTGATTGTAAAACCAGAAAAACTGCCTGGGGAATCAGGGACAATTGCAATTGATAAAACAATTTGACTCGGTTTTCTTTTAAACGACTGAATTTCTAGTTGATAGTGTCCCTTTAAATGTTCCTGTGGTGGATTCAAATGTTTTGACAATATTTTCATTTCATTTTTGGAATCTATTTTTCTACATTAGTGGCTTCTAAGTAAAAGGAGAGGAAATTTTTTCAATGACCTGGGCTTTTTTTTTCAATGTGGGGTTTCTTCTTGACAATATTATTTTAATGGACTTTAGAGTTAGCCACATAATGGTGTTGTGTTTTTGTTGTTTTCTTCTTTAATAAATTTGCTTTCACAGAAAACACCATAGTGTTTTTGGCAGATACTGAACACAAATTCCTCCAGAATATTAATCTGAATTTAGCCCCCTTTTCATCAGGTTTCTCCTACTGAATTCCTTCAATGTCTTAGTTTCCTCTCCCGCAATTTTCCTATTTTATCTTTTTACATTTTGGTTTTTTTTTTATTTTGGTTCAGTTCTTTATAGTCTCATTTTCCACCTGCATACTATTATAGCTTCTTTAGTCTAATCTTTTTCTTGGCTGCCTAGAGTATCATAAAACTAAGTATGTTAAATTTTTCCATATGTCATAATACCAGCTACTTGTGGTGTAGCCTATCATATGCCTATTTTTAGTTTGTGGTTGATTAGCACCTTCTATTTAGCAGTCTGCCCACTGACACAGACCCAGTCTGGTTTTCAAATAAGATAAAATTGGGAAGACAGGTAAAATTGAATATTTTCTTCTGATTATAAGACTCTAAAGATGCAGTCGGACTTGAAAATCAAGTGTGAATAGGCAGTGTTCTGTAAAACATATCAATATTAGGATGGCCCCATTATCTCAAAAACTGTTGCATTTTTATAGAACCCTTCATCCAAATTTATTCCAAACTAATTTACACATTTTACTGTCTCTATATTAGTCATTTTGCCTATCACACAGAAGTGCGTCCCCTTCTGGGGTGTTAGGATGCCAACAACAATGCAAGAGAGACATCAGCTGCTTTTCAATTAACAACATGCCATATGGTGGCAATAAAAAAAATCTAAAAGGATTTTAAAGTGGCACTTGCATTTCATAGCTCCTTCAATACTATAATTATATTTCTGCATGCCCACATAGATTAGAGATCACAGAGTAAGCCAGTGCAACCGGCCTTTGTCACCTGGCCATCCTTGAGTCAAACTAACATGCAGCTGCCAAGATGAGTTTCCTCTCCACTGTCCAGACAAAGTCATCTCATTTTTTAAATCTCTACACTCACTTTCCCATTCTTGCCCATTCTGTTCAGTGGGCCTCCTTATGTGTGAAGCAATAACTCAACACTGTCTACATCACTTCCCTTATGTCTTCCTCTATCCTACCACCCCCCAGTACTTTTCACATCTCTGCTTCTTATCTTCCACCTACCTATACTTGGGGTGCAATGGGCCAAGCTGACACAGGTGATTTCCTACCTTCTTTCGTGCCACCCCCTTGATGCTTATAGTAGCCTCCCAATTAATGGGTATCGAGCTCCAACCCCCTGTCCTACAAGAAACCTTTATGAAGCAGTTTGGTTTCAATGAGCATACCCAATTCTGAGTATTGCATTATCCTGGTTTAGTCTCTTCCCACCTGTAGACTTCATGATCTCATGGATTTATAACCATTTCCTCTATGTGCCATGTATACCAACACTCTATAAACAGTAATAATAGACCCTACAATGTTAATGTTACCAGGACTGGGTTATAAGCCAAAGGGGTAGAGTTATAAGCCATAGTCATGCACTCTTGGAGAGATTCAGCAAACAGTCTCATCCATGCCAGGCCAGTTCAGCTGGTGAGTGGGGAACGAGAGCTAGGTTATGGTTCTACCCCTCTACACGGTGAAAGGAGTGGCTCTAGCCATGGAGGGTTCTTAAACTTCTCATAACTTCACAGTT